CCAGCTGATTTGCGCTAATCATTGGGGTTTAACGTAGTTTTCCGGTCGAGGTTTCTGAATGATAGTCAACAAGAAACAGCATCCGAAGCATGTACTTCCAGAAAAGTACCAAGATGATCGACAAAGTAGTCCGTGTGGCATCAGCGGTTCAACTGTAAAGTTACGAAGCTACGAGAATACTTTTTTTGCGCAAAGAAAACAAAAATAACGACTTTATTCCACATTTTCGTCTCTATTGCGTCACTTTGGATGCGCGTTCACGACAGTATCATGATGCGAGCGTGTGGCGGCGCTGACCCAGATCCGGCGTAATGACGTCATAACATACTGTCGAGTAGACTTTCGAGTACTACTGTCGAGTAGAGACGAAAATTTGATATTTTTGTTTTCTTTGCGCAAAAAAGTATTCTCGTAGCTTCGTAACTTTACAGTTGAACCGCTGATGCCACACGGACTACTTTGTCGATCATCTTGGTACTTTTCTGGACCTTGATCGTGGTAGTTACCTTGCTGTCTATGGGAGGGTCAGAGAGCTCTCGGATTTCATCAAAAATATCTTAAATTGTGTTCCGAAGATGAACGAAGATCTTACGGGTTTGGAACGACACGAGGGTGAGTAATTAATGACAGAATTTTCGTTTTTGGGTGAACTAACACTTTAACCTCTGTGATGCGACTAGATTTCATTGGATTATGAATTATTAGGTTGATGGTATTTGTTAAAACCCCCATGAAATGGTTTGATGAAAACCGTTTTTCTGTCCTGTGTTATTGAGCTCTGAGATCATGGAGGCTTTAATGACTCACAGTTAAACTTTTTTTTTCATTTGAATTCAGTTAGATTATTTTAATATGAATTATTTTAATTCAGTTAGATTATTTTAATTTTAATACTAGTCAAATGCAATTAATGTTGTGATTCCAGAAGTTGAAGAACTGTATGTTCTTCAGGGACAAAAAAAAAACAAAGTTGAGGAAAAAATATTTAAAAAAACTTTTTCCCATTACATTTTTGTCTTCAAAGACTATTAACACAAACTGAATGACATATTCAGTATATAAATATATATATATATATATATATATATTCAATATATAAATTAATCAACCACGATTAGTTTTGTTGTTCCAGAAGTTTGAAAAACTGTTTTTTTTTTATTTTAGTAAAAATTGTTGAGGGGGAAAAAAATTTAAATGTAATTTTTGTAAACATTTTTTCCATGACATTTTTTGTATTTTAATTCAATTTGATTATTTTAATACATAAAAAATCCTAATTTAATTAAGCACTGCTTGTTTTCAAAGACTGCTGTTAACACAAACGGAAAGATATATTAGATTAATCAACCACAATTAATTTTGTTATTCCAGAGATTTCAAGAACTATATGTTTTTCAGTAAGTTGTTGAGGGGAAAAAATTTTTTCCCATTACATTTATTAGCGTTTTAAGTCAGTTAGATTATTTTAATGCATAAAAATGTATTTAATAGATAATTAAATTTAATGAATAATTTTCCTACGGCCACCTGGTGGGCTCCGGTCCCCTGGTTAAGAACCACTGCTCTAATATAATTTTTAAATTATGAAAGCATCCTATTTCCTTTTACAATAACATACACTGATCAATCATACGCCGTAAGAGCAGAGATAGTCAATAACGTGTTGTGATTTCATGATGTCTTTCAGGTTGTGGAGAAACATAGAGGCACTTGACAGACGTTACGAGCGCCAGTACGTCCTTCGTTTCTAGCGGAGCAGCTTTCTTGAATTAATTAAGCTGAAGCGGCTGTGGGTTAATCAGCAGAGCCGCGAGCAGGTGGAGAAACTCTGATAAAGATGGACAATTATGCAGGAGTAAATTGGTTTGGCGTTGAGGACGGCGCAGGACGTTATCACTCGCTCTCACGCCGCTGCTATTTCTGTACCTCGTTTTCTCCTCCGTCTCTCACTTTTTGGCTGTCCATCTGTTGCTTTTGCCCCCTTGTGTTTCCTCCCGTCCTCGGGTCGTGTTTTTGCTCTTTTCGGCTCTCCAGCCATAAACTGGCTTCAGTTTCCATCACTCTTCATTTATTTTAATTGAGCGGGGCTAGTTGTCACGGCTCCAATGAAAACTTCTCATGGTGGGTTTGTTTTTGTAAGTCACTTTAAAGACTGAAAGCGTGAAGTTTTGGCTACAAAAAACAAAACCCCATTGAACATTTCCACAGGAAAAAGTTCACAAATAATGCATTTTCATATATTTCACGATATTTTTCTGCAATGATTTGAGAATCATTCATGTCTGGAGCACAAACGTGTAAAAGAGATTTTCTAATCTCATTGAGTTTTTAATCTGGTTAAATAAAGGCATGAATGAATGAAACACTGTAGCTTGATCACATTATTATAAAAACTAATTAAACATAATTATTTAAACACAATAATTATTACTTATTGTCTTTATTATTTATGTTTTTTTTTAATATATATATATATTTATATATTTATATATAACTTTATTATTATAAGTTAAGGTGCTAGATGTTTGCATATAATGATAATGATATATTAGACAAATCAAACACTTTGTTGTTGTCTGTTCCTAAGACACGTTTAAAACTTGAGGGGGATCGGGCATTCTCGGTGGCAGCACATCAGTTGTGGAATAACTTGCCTTTTTACCTGCGATCGGCCACTTCTCTTCAGGTTTTTAAATCTTTAGTAAAGACATATCTTTTTAAAAAGGCTTATGGGCTGGAGTAACTGCTGTATATAGTTTTATTGTGTGTATATTTAGTGTTGTGTATTATTTCTATCACTTTTTTTATTGTAAATTTGTTTTATGGTTATTGGCTTAATTCTACTTCTCTGTGCAGCACTTTGGTCGGCTCTGTCGTTTTTAAATGTGCTATATAAATAAATTAAACTGAAACTGAAACTGAAACTGGTTTCATTTATTTTATTTTTCCCAATTAAATTTTTTTTAAATTATTAAAAAATATATTTTTATTAATTTATTTTATATTGTATTTTATTTTTTATTTTTTCTGCTCTGCTCTCCACTATATTAAAAATATATTCATATTTAGTCAAGTATAAATATGTTTTTTATTTTAAAAAATTCTGTTCTGCTCTTAACTGTATTAAAAATATATTTATATTTAGTAAAATATAAATATATTTTTGTTGTTTTTAATTAAATTTTATAGTTTGTTTCTTTTTTTTATTTGAAATATAAATATATTTCCTTCTATTTATTCTTTATAGGTCTGCTCTCCACTATTTTAAAAAATCTATTTAAAAAACAAAACGCTTATAAAATGACAAAAAACACACATCAAAATTACTAAAACTTTACCCAAAGAAAATATAAAAATGAAATCTAATTCAAATTATTAACAGAATCAGTTTTAGTGTATCAGTGATACTAAAATAACAGTTTCTGGATGTTTTGCGAACGCCTGACAGAAATCCTCATCTCATTTTATTAGATGAATCATAGACACTTTGATCATGTATTGGGTCATCATGTGTTTTATTACTTGAGGCTGATGTTCTGCTCCGTTCTTCATGCTTTGTGACTTTGTGGACAGTCAGACGGTTATTGATCAGACTAAAGGAGCTCAGAAACACCTCTATTCACGTGTCCATGTCAGTTTCAGACGTCCTCTCCTTCCTTGAGAAACGTCCTCCAGGCTGTTTTCCACAGTCTACAGTCCGAGAGCACTAGAGTCTGGTGAAGTTCTTCCTCCGCATCAGTACCCTGATGGACACGGACCTGATATCACTCACTAGTGTGTAACGCCTCCTGCTTATAGCTCATAGAGGTTATGAGATGAATGTAAAACTAATACACCAAATTATATTTAAATAAAAAAAATTATAGATATTATTATTTTTAATTCATTGTAATTTCCCCATTGAGAGACAAATTGTTTGTTTATTTATTTGTTTGTTGGTTTAGTGTTTTATTTCTTGTTTTGTTTTTTTATTTTAATACATTTTTCATTAATGTGTTTATTTTTACTTTCATTTATAATTTTATTTCACCTGTTTATTTAATTTTAATTTATTTATTTTTAATTAATGAATTTATTTTTTATTTATTTTAAATTTTATTTTAATTTATAATTTATTTCACCTTTTTATTTTTCATTTATTTAATTTTAATTTTATTTATTAATTTATTCAATTTTGTTTATATAGTATATTATTTATTTATTTAATCTGAATTCCATTTATTTATTTTTATTTA